TTGGGTTATTTTTGTTTCATTTTAACCCCTTTGTGTGAACAGTTCCCCAATTTGCCCTCCTGCTACTGCCCCAGCCCAAAGCCAGTGACACACTGCTCTCCCCATAACCCACAGCCTCCCCAGTGCCAAAGCCCTCTGAGTCCTCTGACAACTCCCCCCTTCAGTAACTAAGAGGGTCCCTCCCTAGTGGCAGCACCCTCCAAACCTCTTGCACCTCTTCTTCCTAACACAAAGGGCAGTCTGTCTGGATGCATCTCAGAGCCCAGCGGAGAAAGCACCAAGTCTCCCCAGAAGAGCAGTGAATTAAGCAGAGGGTCATTTAGACAGGCACAGACCAGTGGAAAAACAGCAGCTTGGGATCCCTGCAACCTAGCAGGAGGGGGGCAAAGACACAACCCTCCCAAGGGCAGAGAGCAGTGCAGTCAATGCAGCACTGGGGGGAATGGCAGGATGTCCACATGTTAAAGTGGGTCTGAGAGATGCAAATACATTTTGACTGAGGATGGTGTGATTGAGCCACCTCCCTTCTGGCTTAATCAAAGGAAGCATCATGTTGGTGTTGGCCATGCCATGCATACACCAGGGAGCAGTGGTCTGTGATCTGTCTGAGGACACCTGTTTCTACTTCACCCTGCTCCCTGCCAACACAGCCTTCCAGAGTGGAGCTAAGTCCTTGCTCAGGATTACGCTTCAGGAGGTTGCAAACTACTGAGGAAAACAGACAACCAAGAAAGACTGGTCCGCACACTCTGCCCTCCAAAGCTTACCCAGCCCAGCTAGGAGAATGCCAATTCCAGCGCAGTATGGGGACGTCAGCACTGACAAGGTGGGGAGCAAGCTCCTCTAGGCACACCCACCAGGCAGACTGTAGGTCTAACAGGGCACACCTACATGAGATGCTTATTGTGCAGTAGCCTAATAACACTGCACAATAGCGTAGCATGCAAAATCTGTGCTAGTACGCTACTGCACAGTGTATTAGGCTACTGCGCAGTAAACATCACTAAAAAAAAAAAAATTTATGCTAGCGCTACTGCACAGTAGCACAAGTTACTGCACATTGAATTAGTACTTGGTTAACCAAGTACCAAACTTAATGCACTATGTAACTATGGTGCATTAATGAACACATAGGCATGCCCACAAAGAACAAGGTCACACCTCAGAGGAGGACCCTGTGAGGTGGCCGATGTACACCCGATCCCCCTAGTACAGCTACCAGGTGGGATGCTACAGATCCCCTGCAGGAAGACCAGGGAGCGCTCTCCAGATAGCAAAGAGCTCCTGGAGCAAGCAAAGACTCTTCCTACAGCCCATCATGGTGAGAGATACTTTACGGTATTATTTCATTGTGGGGTCACAATGACTTCACAGTCCATGAAAGCAGCAGCATCCACACCCAGACAACCATCTGTAAGGGCACACCAAAAGCAGTAGAGGCTGAAAGCCCAATTCTGTGCAGTATCATGTTGTCCCATAGCAATCCCCAAACCAGTCCACAGGGTCCCCTCCAGCAGTGATGGTAAGGCAAGGAATAACAGTACCTAGCAGACATCAGAGACTCCAGGAACTCACAGAGCAGAAACAACACGCCTTGCCTATACAAGTGGATAACAGCATCAACCTCATTCAGCCAGAGCTCATTAAATGCTTGCCACATTCAATAAGGCTGACCCAAGCTCTGTGAGCCAGCCATCTTACAGCAGTACAACCCAGGTAAGCCTCATTAGGGAACAAGCCCAGCACAGCTGACAGACCAATCAGAGAGCAACCCCTAGGAGCCTGTGAGAGCATAATGGAGGTGGGGCTGACCTAAGAGCCATGAGCCAATCAGAAAAGAGCAAACTGGAATCAGTAAGAGCGAAAGACTTAGGATGTAGGAAGCCTCCAGCCAGTTCAGGTGTTTCCTGGGTGCAGGGCAGCTCATCAGCATCTGCAGAAGTGAGCAATCTGTGTTCACTGAAGGTAAATGAGTTCTTGTATCTGGTGTTGGCTGTGCTGCCTGGCTCTGATCCAGCCAGGTGTAGGTTGGGTGAAGAGGCAACTGAACATACACATGTGAGTGTGAGAACCCAAGGGAGGCTTGCTTGTGGAAGAGCTGTACACCTTTGATTTAGGTTGCTTGAGTTGGAAAAGGGAAGGGAAGAGAGAAGCTGAGCTAAACAAAGAAAGAAGCATAAGGCAGCCTGTCCAAGGAGGAAGAAAGGATGCAGTTAAGGGCAGACAGTCTGTGCTTGGCTGTGCTCTGGGCTCGCAGGGCAAGTGTTTGGAAGGTAAAAAGGGAAGTGATGGGATGGTGGATGAATTAAAGACATGTGAAATGGCTGTTCCGTTTCGTTCCATCGAAACGTTTTGCTGTTTCGACGTTTTGCCTATAGAATATAATGGGGAAGGTCAAAACAAGCTATAACTTTGTCATTTCTGATCCAATTTGGACGAAGCTTGCAGGAATGGTAGACCATTTGGAGGGCATGATACGTGCCAAGTTTCAAGAAGATAGGTACAGGAGGTTCAGAGAAACTGCACTCCAAAATCTTGAGAGCAAAACTCATGTTATGTTTGTGTGTGAAGCCACAGCAGGGTCAAAACTGCAGACATGCTAGCCCCTGCTGAGGCCACAAAGCCTGCCAAGTTTCAAGGAGATGGGTTCAGGGGGTTTGGGGGAAACTGCACCTCAAGCTGCAGACAAGCAAAACTCGTGACATGGGTGCTTGTGCAACTGTGTCTGTCTTGAGGCACTGGGGTGGGGCGACTACTGCAGGCCTGGCTGCTAAGCTACTGTGTTACCAGTTACCAGTTAATCACGATTCACTCAGGGACCAGTTCAACACAGAGGACCTAGCTACTACATAACGACTTAATGAGCATGGATTAGCACCTACAAAACCAGAGCCTAAGGAGAGGAAATAATCAATACAGACAATCAGCTGCCCCAAGACAGACAGTTGACAAGTCAGTCCCACAAGCACTCATGGCACGAGTTTTGCCTGTCAGCAGCTAGGGGTGCAGGGCCCCAGAACCCTGCACTGATCTCCTCCACAGCTGGCAGGTGTCATGGCCACAGCAGGGGCCACCAGCCCTGCAGTTGTCACACTGCTGTGTCTTAACACACGCAGTGTCACCCATGGCATGAGTTTTGCTTGTCCACAGTTTGAGGGGCAGTTTCCCCCAAACCCCTCCACTGATCTCCTTGAAACTTGGCAGTCTTCATGGCCTCAGCAGGGGCTAGCATGCCTGCAGTTTTGACCCTGCTGTGGCTTAACACATACATGTGACATGAGGTTTGCTTTCAGGATTTTGGAGTGCAGTTTCTCTGAACTCCCTGCACCTATCTTCTTGAAACTTGGCACACTTTATGCCCTCAGAAGGGGCTACTATTTCTGCAAGTTTAATCCAAATTTGGCCAGAAATGACAAGGTTATATGCTGTTTTGACCTTCCCCATTATAGCCTAAGCGCAAAACATTGAAACAGCATCAAAACAGGGAAACGTTTCAACTTGCCTCGTTTTGTTTCAAGGCTGTTTCGACCACATCTGTTTCATTTTGATTTTGTTGTTTCAGCCTCGAAACAGGTCAAAACAGCTTCAAAACAAAACTGGTGGCAAAATTTCACACTTACCTACTGAACGGCACTGGCCATTCCTGGTCCTCTGCCAACCGGCTGCCCTCAGCTCCACCAGTTTCTCTGCTAATCAGCCAGCATAACCTCTGGTCACTAGAAAGGACAGTGGGATGCCTTCAACTGAGAGTAAGAGGCTTAGATGAGATAGGTACTCCCTCTTGGGTCATGTTCAAACTTTGGCACCTGAAGTTACGCCTTTAAATCTAGAAGTGCTGTGCTGCTGTTGCTCACCTGGATTCTGTTTTCAAAAGCCTGGCAGCCTCTTTCTTTGATTTCTGTACCTGCTGAGACAGAGGCTCTTTGAGCAGTGGTCAGCAAGGCTTTGGTGCCAGGGGCCAAATCAACTTGGCTCGGGTCCTGGGTGAGCTGGTGCTCCTAACCTGACCCCACCGTCACTTCTTGCTACTGGGCCACACCATGCATAGGGCCCCCCCTTCACCATTCAGGTGCAGTGTAGCATACACAAAATGCCACGGGCCATCTGTTGCCAACCTCTGCCCAGAAGGAAGATTATGCTGAGCTATCCATTTGAGACAGGGTGTCAGTCTCTTGATTGAACAGGCTTCCTGGAAGCTCTTCTCAAACACGCACCATTTCAAGGGGGTACGCCTTCATTGTTTAGACACTTTGCACTCTCCAGTCTTCAGCAGGGAAATCCCAACTCTGTTCATATTTGTGTAACTTTTTTTTCTCCTTTAGTGTTTCAGGCATTGGGCCTTGTGTATGTGAAGGTCTGAAGTAGTGGCTTTTTGGGGATCCACAGGGTATATGGTTGCCTGTGAACACAGGAGACTGGACTCTGCAGCCCCAGAGGCCCCTTCCAGCCCTAAGTAGAATGTGACATACTGTATTTGCTCAAGTTCCCCACACATGCACCCTTTCCCCAAAAATTGACCCTCCAAATTTGGGGTGTGTCTTAAGCCAGAAAGTGACTTTTTTTTTCCTCCTCCCGCCATGATGGAATGTGGGAATGAATGGCGGGATGGAGATGCTGTAAAATGGCTGTCCTGCTTCTCCCTCTGCCAGCCTCAGGGAGGGAGGGGGTGGAGTTCACCTTTCAGGGTCAGAGCTACAGTGTTAACCCTCTCACAGCTGCTGTGGAGCTGAGCAGCTAACTGCTGCTGCCAAGTCATCACTGGTTGTGAAAGAGTTAATACTTCTGCTCTTGCCTAAGCAGTGCCTGGCAAAATTCAGCCATGCAGTCAGGAAAAATCTTTTTTTTTTTCCCTTCATTCTGCTTTCCAAAGCAAGGTGTGCATCTTGCGTACCATATTCCTGTATATAAAATACAGGTATCTTTTGTAGTATTAGAGCTCTGATGCTTTTGGGGATTTTGGTTGGGGGGTGCTTTGAGATGTGAGAGAGACCCTTGATACAAGTCTTGGAAAATTCCATGCATCTATAGCAAAAGCATTATGTGCGTCTGCGCTCCTGGCGCAATAGAACAGATTCCCTGGGTCATGAGCACTTGTGCTAGTTACCAGCAATGCAGGTGTAAAATGTCTGTGGAAGTCTCGTGCCTGAGAAAAACAGCCCAAACTGGCCTGTGCTGGTTTAACAGGCCAGATAATGGAGGTGAGATCTGTATAAAGTAACAGCCCTGATCTATGAGGAGAGTCCCTCCACGCTGGATCTAAGAACTACCTGGTTCGGTGCTGTCTTTGCTATTGACCTACTTGGTAGATAAGGATTGACTGACAAATGGGTTGATTTTTCCCTGATATGTTGTCTCCAGAGGGCTTTTGCTCTAAATGAAAAGAATGATTTGTGAAAGACAGCAGGTGCGCTGGTGCTGATCTGAGCGCAAGCACAGACCTGCTGGGATAATAGCAATGTGTTGCAAAGGGAAAGCAGCCTTAAACCCAAGCTGGGTAGGGGTGAAGAACACTGCTCCTCCTCAAAGAGAGGTAGCAGCTTGTGGCCTATGGCCCCAGCAGGGCCCTTGAGGACATGACAAGGGGTCTAAGGTGCAGTGAACCCCTGGGACTGAGACAAGATCCCTCTAACATCACTATAATTCAGCACGCTTCCTCTCTGAGCTAAAGCACAGACCAAAACAGAGTAAACTAAAGGGTGGGTTTGTCCAACCTATTTAATCTTTTGCCACAAAAGACAAAGCTCTTCTACAGCTGTGTAAGCTGTGCTGGTGGCTGGAGTGGACAGGTATCTGGATCTCCCAAAGTAGCTGTCTTAGTGGGCATCTGCAGCACCTTGCCCCTCCTTTCTGAGGAAGCTGGCAGTAGTCTGTTTGCATTGAGCAGATGGCCACTTTGGGAATAATATTTGAGTAGCACAACAGTGTAACATTTCTGGCTTTCCAAGGGGTAATTTTACACTGGAGTAGACTCCACCCACCACCCCCAAACACACACTTCCAGATATAAGCCTGATTCCAGCAATGGAGGTGCTAAAAATACACAAAAAATCATGAGCCTTCTAATAAAATAACAAGTGCTGAGATCATGAAACAGCATTGCTAATTTCCAGTTTGTAACAACCCACCCGAAACAAACTTTTAACATTATTTTCTGCTAAAATGTTTAGCTGTACTAAGGAATGAAAGCCTTTGCCATTGTCAGATTTGTTTAATATCAGTTTTGGTTGAAAAAGCAAACTCAATGGACCGGGTGGGGGGAATATGCACAGACACATACCTACCTACCTGAACATAGGCTTTGTAAAGAGAGAAGAGTAACACTCTTAGTGTGGCAATGATAAGACTATACAACATAGTGATGATGACTGAACCTGGGATTGCTGGGGTGAAAAACCAAGTCCAAATTGTCTGGAAGTCTAGTTTTACTAGACTTCCTCTAACATAAGAAGGCTGGGTAGGGGGATAGGGCTGAGGGCAGGTGTTCAAATTGCCACTTCTGGGAATGACAACACACTATTGGCAGAAGCTGTAGCTTTTCGGTTGATTACCGTACTTATTGGCATATCACGTGCTCCCAAGTGAGACCCACGCTTTGTTCTAGGAAGACAGAATAAAGAAAAATCTGTCCCTTTCACTGCTCAGAATGAGCTTCCTCATTTAAGATGTGAACCCCAATTTCAATAACTAATTTTCAG